CTGAAGTCTACAAAAAGGACCCTTGCAAAGGTCCTCGGGGATTCAAGAGGTTGCAAGATGCAGTGCAGGGCCCTATTGACAGCATCATCTGCCGATCTGTTTGCACAGCAGGCAAACTGCAAATGGTTTAAGAGCTTAATGCTATTTTGAATTCCAGGCATCCAGGCTTTATAAGAGGAAGCCCAAGCATTTGTCAAGCATGGGGCCAAGGTTTCCAAGCTAAGCTACTCCCTGTGTGCAAGGATTGGTTGTCCCAGAGGCTGCTCCAGCATCCGTGTGCTTGTCTCAAGCCTGCAAGCTGGCAGCTTCTGCAGATCTGAATTGTGTCTCCTGCGGCTCCTGCTCCTCCTACGTCAGAGGAAAAGAAACCTTCCTTCAGCTGCCTCCCTCCAGAGACTTTGCAGCTGCCCCCGGTTGGAGAATTCTCAGCACATCTGAAGAGGCCAGATTGGGAGTGGGGTTGCCTTTGCATCTCTCTTGCTGAGGGGCACCACGATGTCTTCAGCAGATGCAGAGCAAGGAAGAGGAGGCCTCTGCTGCTTCCAGACCAGCCTGCTGCCCTGGGGAAATGGCTGCTACACAAAGGCTGGGTTGAGGGGATCCGGTGAGGATGCTTGGCAGATGGAAAGAGCTGAACTGTCTGTCTAAGAGCTTCTCTCTCTGTGACTTCACAGCCTTGTGTGAAATAACACTCCTTATCTTGAAGCCTTCAATGGTTTTGGTGTTGTAGAACTGAGCCCTTCATTATATCCCATTTTTCGCTTCCCAGATTGATAGGCAATCAGGATCCAAGCAGATGGCACTCTCTTTTCCTTGAATTCCTTGAAATTCACTTGCAATCCAAAGCCTCTGCAATAATAGCTCCAGTCACGTAAGCTCTGTTTTTTTTGCCTGAAGTGCCATTAAGAATCCGAGCGTCTCCATTTACAATAGATCAAGCGAGTAGAATGAATCAAAGCATACATTTGCTTTGAATTGCCACTAGCATGCAATCTTTAGATATTTGCAGCTAATTTTGCAACAGGAGAAAAGAAAAGGCAGAAGCTATCCAAGACCAGTAGACTTCTGGCTTGCAGGCTCTACTCCTCTTCCTTTATGGACTCTCCTTGGGCTCCCCAGCCAGAGCCTCAGGGAGACACTGGCTCTGCCCAGTCCTCTGCCTAAAGTCCTAGACCCTGATCCACCCTCCTGGCCTGGGGATGGGCACAGAAGGGCTTGCAAAAAACATTCTTGTTGATTTCAGATGGGCAGCAGAAGCGGGATTTGTGGGGGCTTCATTTTGTCTGCTTGAATGCTCTGCTTCCCCAGAGGGCACCAAGTCACTCTTGAAGTTTAGGAAGAGACTGTATCAAAAGCCCTCCGGTGCTTTGGCTGAAGAGTTCAGGAGCCCTGCTTCACGGCATCAAAGATCATCTTCCAAAGACACGGGAAGTCCTGGCCTCCAGTCAAAGGAGAGCATTTTTTCAGCCTCAAAGGCACATCTGTTGAGGAGTGGATGTGCAACTGCACCGGAGACAGGCAGGCCAAAGCGGAGAAAGGGCCCATGGAGAAGTAAAATGTTTTTAAGACTGGACTGGATCTGACTGGAATGGGACATGGACTCCTGGAGTGGAAGGGACCCTTGAGGCCATCCAATCCAACCCAACTGCTGTTCAGCACAGGAACCTCAGTTCAAGTATTCCGGCCTCTCCTTAAACACCGGATGAGAGATCGGAGGAGGGGGAGACTGCAGAGGGAAGAGCAGCTTCCCCCTTGACTTTGCTTGTCAGAAGGTTTCAAAAGGGGAATGCATGACTCCAGAACATGACAACCGTCATAAATACGAGTCAGTTGCCAAGCATCCAAATTTTGATCGCATGACTTCTGGGATGCTGCAACAGTCATAAGTGTGAAAATGGTCATAAGTCACTTTTCCAGTCCCACTGAAACTTTGAATGGTCACTAAATGAATGGTCGTAAGGCAAAGACTACCTGTATGTTCAGGATTGCAATTACCAATATATTTTTTCCTGATTCAAATCTTTGGAGCACAAACCTGCATGCCTGAAATTCCAGGAAAGAGTCCCAGTCAGGGAATAAGACTTCAGGCACCAGGCCCCTAAAATCTATCCGTGGCATCTCACTGGGCCTTTTGCAAGGAAGTGCTAGTTATTTTAACCCCAGTTAAATTCAGAAGGCCTCTTTAATGCAGAATCGGAGCACATTTTATCTGGTGAGAGCCTCCATTATTCCGTGTTCTGGACTCTCTCTTCCTTAAGGCTCCTTGTCCATCCGTCTTTCTACCAAGCTTTGAGGTGGAGACATTCAAAGGCCCTTCGGAATGCCTCTGTGTCTGTCGTCTTAGTATTATTATTGTTGTTATTGTTATTGTTTTCTCATCCGGGCTTGGGACCGGCAACGGCGGAGTTGTTGTTGTTGTTGTTGTTGTTGTTGTTGTTATTATTATTATTATTATTATTATTATTATTATTATTATTATTATTGATGAAGAAGGTTGCTGAAGTGGAAGAGTTCACAACCCCCAGACTTTATGCATCTGCTCAGTTGTGAAGAAGCAGTGAAGCAATTATTCTGGGGGAGATGGCAGAAATGCCCCCCTTTTTCTGAGCCTTTGGGTTGCCTTTGGGTTGCTTTGGAGTTTTGTTACCTTGTACAATCAAATACTTTAAAAAACATTCCTGTTTTGGCCCTGGAAAGATTTTGTTTAAAAAAAAGGGTTGGGATCCGTTCTTCTCCTTTACTTTTAGAATAGAAGGGATGTTTTTTGCATACAGGACATATGCAAAGCAAAGTAAAATCTCCTAGTTTCTAGCAAATGAGGTTGAGTTGTTGCTTCTGCAGGAGAATTCCTTTTTTTAAACAGGGAGAGGTAATTCATCCTTAATTAATTAGACTTATCAGAACTCAGAAAATCTGTTGCTCTTGCAAATAACATTTTTTTCATGGTTATAAAATGCAAAAAATCCCGTCTAATGAGAGGAGTGGTGTCATGGGCTGCTTCACTCAGTAACCAAGAAAGAAACCACTCAACTCCATTTTGCAGAATTAAGAGTACTTTTACTGGTCATGAGTAGATAGTAGCTAAGCAAAGTGAGGTCTGAGGCAAAAGTGTGCATAATCATAGATATCAATATGTGACCCAACCCCCTCCCCCTGGTAACCTTAGCCCATAGTCCAATCAGTACACACCACAGGTGTCATGCGGGAGACATCTTCAAAAAACATCATCAGACTGGTATGCCGGACAGTTGGTCTGGGCGGCAATCCTTTATCTGCAGCATGTGCAGTAGATGGTGAGAACACCTCCCTTTATTCAGTCTCTCCAGTGCTGACACTTCACCACCCACATACAATGTCCCCCCTCCCAGTTTCAATGGCAGCCGAAAGAAAGCAGCAAAACAGAGGCTGACAAGAGGTCAATAAGTGTTAAAATTCCTACCGGCTCTTCTGGTTTCTTTGAGTGTGATTCAGAATGGTATAAAACGCTGGGCCCATGTTATCCAGGACTATGACAGCCTCCCGGGTGTCTGGCCTGGCCGTGGTTCACTCTGAAGTCCCGTGGCAATGTGGCCTCTTCTAAAGCTGCCCTCTTCCCCAGGGGAGACTCCGGGGCCTCTGAACCCAACGATGCCCTTCTCTCCCTATGGCATGCTCCCAAGGGCTGGCCCTTCTCCCCTGCCCAGCTCTTCCCAGGGAGATTCTCAGAGGGGTTTCCTCAAAGAGATGGGCACCTTTTCTGGCCTCAGTGAGCACCCACAGGCAGGCAGCACCACCTCCCCCCATTCTCTGGGACCCCCAATATTGGGCCAGCTGGATCATTAGAGTCTGATCCAGAATGGGAGCCTTGCAAATAGAAAGGGCCTGGGCATATAAGTATAATAATAAATACAAATTTCTCTGGGGTCAAGGGCCCCTCCAGGCCCATCCCCAGGCCTGCTCTTTTCTGGCAAACCACCTTCCAAAAGTGCTTAGAAAAAAGGCAAGTTTTAAAAGACATTCAATGCATTTAGGAGGCAGCAAATTCTCCTTGGCTGGAAGGAAGCCTTTTCTAGCTTCCGCCTTACTTTAATACCAGTCTTCATTTTTACATTGTTGGTACACCTGGGTAACTAGGCAACAGGCCCCGTGCCTCCATCTTTAGAGAGTGGGAGGGAGACAGCAGAAGCCGCTCTTGTACTGGAGGGGCAGGGAGAATGGAGCCCAAAATGTATGTTGTTACATGAGACATCTAAGGGAATTTTGCCCCATTTTACAACCGTTCTTGTTACGGTTGTTAGGTGAATGACTGCAGTTGTTAAGGTAGTGACACTGTTGCTAAGTGAATCTGGCTTCCCCATTGCTTGTCAGAAAGTCACAAAAGGTGGTCACATTGTTGCGTCCACCTGACGCAGCCGGCAGCTGAGCCATGCCTTGCAAGAGGCTGATTGGTCCCGGCGCGGCTGCCGGCCGGCGGGAGAATTGCGGCCACCCCATTGGCCGGCCGCCTGACAGCTATCAGTATAAATAGCTGTCAGGCGGCGCTGTCCAGCGCGCGTGTTCTGAACTTGCTGTCAGTTCTGTTGTAATAAAGGTTCCTGTTCAATTTACCTCAGCGCCTCCTCGTATCTAAAACACATGACCCTGGGATACCGCAACCGTCATAAGTATAAGATAGTTCCAAACATCGGAATTTTGATCATGTGACTCTGCGGATGCTGCAATGGTTGTAAGTTGCTTTTCCCAGTGCTGCTGCAACTTTGAAAGATCACTAAGTGAACGGTTGTAAGTTGAGAAAGGCCTTTTTCATAACCAAATAAATACTGGTTTCATTGCAAATGAGTTCTTTTCCAGCTACCAAAACTGTCAATCAATGGACACAGCTCCCACTCTCCGGGAATTGGTTGGGCAAAATTGAGGATTGAGCTCCAGATTTGAATTCCTCTGTAGAGGCCCCCTTGTGAGGGTTCTGCTTGGAGATTCTGTCATGCCCCTGAAGTGTGGCTTTTGGTGCTTCCTTGCAGCTCCCCAAAGTTGACTATGAGTTTAAAAATGAGTGACGAAACCATCCCCGAGGAGGTCTCCTCGCTCCCTGCTGAGAGCCAGCATTACTTTGACCGATTCTCGGAAGATGACCCCGAGTACCTGCGCATCAGGAACATGGCTGCGGACCTGCGCCAAGACTTCAACCTGATGGAGCAGAAGAAAAGAGTCACCATGATTCTGCAGAGCCCCGTGAGTAGATCCCCCCAGAGGGGTCACGAGCTGCGTGTGGAGGGTCAAGGCAAGGGCAGAGGATCTCCACATGCTGGGAGGGGAGAACCTCCCTGGAGGGCCACGTGGCCTGCCCTGAACTGGGCTGCCCTCACAGTTAGGATCCGAAGGTCCCTCTTCAGGCTGAATCCCCCAGTCCTTGCACTGGGCTCAGGAGCAGGGGAGGGGGGAGCCAAAGAGACGCCCTTTGCCCTCCTGGGCTGAATTGCCTGGGCCCAGGGGGGAAGTGGAGGGAACCCTGAGCCCTCGCTCAGCGCTTTGGGTCTCCAGAGCTACAGCTGGTTTCCAGAGCTGCATCCCGGGCTCTTTTTTCTTGCTCTGGGCTGATGGCAATGGCTCCAGGGCCTCGGCTAAGGGGGTCCAGCAGGAAGCAGAGAAGGGGATGGGAGGGAGGGAAGTGGAAATAACTGCTCTTCCTCTTCCTTGGCCCTTTTTGGCTGGTGCAGCTTTGCCCTACTTCCTTGAGGTTTTCTTCCAGTGATCTTTCACAGGATTCCGGGTGGTTGTGGGGAGCTTTTGGGTGCAGACATTGGATAAGATGCTGGGCAGGACTGCCAGCCTCGGGCTTGGCCCAGGGAGCTGACAGCAGGTGCTGTGGAAGAGAGGAACTGCAGGGGGTGTAGAGCAGGGCTTGTTAGTAGATCTCCAGAAGGCCTGCAGTAAGATTTTCACAAGATTTTTATGGAAAATAAGAGATGAAATTTGGGAGGAGAGTTCTAGTGGAGAAGGATGTTTTTGGATCCCCATAAAATTCCATGCTGAAGGCACAGTGATTGCACAGTAAAGGCCATCACTGGGACGGACACACACACACACACACACACACAGACAGACACAAACACACACACAGGTAGAGGGGGGGTGTTTTAACAGTAAGAACAGAATGGTTTTCTGCGATTCCTTGCAACACCAGCCTGACCAAGAAAGCTTGAGAGAAAACTAGGAGTGAAGTTTGTGTGGAAGGATTTTGGACTCAGTTGGGCTCCTAGAGAGAACTTGAGGGGCATTGGTTCTCAAGGCAGTGAGTGGGGGACCCTAAAAGTGCACTGTGGCATCTTAAAAAGACAAACATTCTCACAGCTGTACTTGAAGAGGAAGCCAGTGTCACAATTCAGCCGAACACTGACAGACTTCAGCTGCATCGAATTTCAGTGTTTGGCCTTCAAGAAAGGTCACTTCCTATCCCAGGGGAGCCTCCGAGAGCTTCTCCGCCTCGTTTCCAAAGGTCCACGTGACAAATGCACCTGTTGCAGCTGCCCCTTGGAAGCCACCTTGGGAGGCTACCTGGGATTTATTCTGTGGTGTCTTCAGTCTTTTAGGGAGGAGCTGGAGAGCCTCATCCAAGAGCAGATGAAGAAAGGAAACAACTCCAACATCTGGGCCCTTCAGCAGATAGCCGAGTTCATGGCCACCACGGCTCCCTCCGTCTTCCCTCCATCGCCCTTGAGTACGTTAGCCTCTCGTCCAGGGTCTTTGGGCCATGTTTCTGAGCAAGTGGTCCCTCTCCTCCCCCTCTGCCACCCTTTCTCCTGACGTTGGCTGAGCTCCTTGCCATTCCCCCACCTGGCCTCCCCTGCCCACCTTCCTGAGAATGGCTCTCTCTTCAGCTTGTGGGGACGTTTATGACTGGGCTGCTCTTCCTGGAGTTTAATGCTGCTAATTCCTGGATTTTATACCCAGATCTCCCCTGGGCCTCCAGGTTACAGAGGGAGGTACAGGGCTGCCATCCCCTCCCTTGGTGACTGTCTATTCTTTGAAGGTCCCTCTAGCAGATTGTGGGGCGCAGTGAGGCTGCCAGTCAACAGGGGACCCCACTCTGGGCCACACAACCCTCTACTGGCTTCTGCTGTAAGCGGCAGCCTCTCCTGATGCAGCTGCGTTCTTTGCATGCTGCTAATTGGGTTGGGTGATGGAAGCCAGTGTGCTCACCAGGGAATTCTGGGAGTTAGAAGTCCACACACTTTTAAAGTTGCCAAGATTGAGAAATGTTTCTTTACAGTATAAAGAAACATACAGTTTGAAAATTTATCTTCAACCACTGCATAAGCTCTGAACAACCCTGGTTTTGCAAGTGTCTGCAAAAGAGTTGGTTGCATCTCTGCTCTAAACTTTGAAGCCAGCACAGGAGGGGAAGAAGCAGGGAGGTGGGATTTTCTGAGCGACAGTGGAGGAAGAAACCCACTGAGTCAGTGGTCCGGCCCCAAAGCCTCCTCATGCTGCTCCGCTGGCAATTCCATCCCTGGTTTTCTTTTGCAGACCTTTCCACAGTGACCCCGATCAATGACCTCCATAGTATGGACTCTGTGTCCTTGGCCAAAGGGGAGCGGCTCATGCGCTGCAAAGTTGGCGGTGTCTATCGGTTGCTGGACCTTTATGGCTGGGCACAGCTCAGCGGCACCACAGTCACGGTGAGTCATGCCACCCTCCTCTCTCCTGGCCAGCCTTTGTTGCGGGTGGAAATAAAACTTCAGGTTTTTTTTTTTAACAAGATTGCACTTTGGGCTTAAAGGAAGCAATTGTCTTAGAAGGGCCTAAGATCCTCTTTAATCTGGGTCCTCATTTTACCCAGCTCGGAAGGATGAAAGGCCGAGTCAACCTTGAGCCTGGTGAGATTCAAATTGCTGGCAATTGGCAGTCAGCAGAATTAGCCTGCAAAACTGCCTTCTAACCACTGTAGTGGAATGAAGAGATTGTTTGTTGGGGATCCTTCATGAGTCATTAGGCAGAGCCTGGAGAACCATCTTTGAACTACAGACCAGCCAGTGACTGAGCTGATGCTTTCCTTGGATATCCTTGAGGCAGGACTGTTGGGGGCAAGAGGCTGACTCTTATATACTGCTTAGAGAGGGCTGTAAAGCACTGGGAAGCGGCATCTAAGTCTAAGGGCTATGGTTATCAGGCTAGCGGGACAGAAGCCTGCAGTCACTTAACCATCATCAAAAGCAACTGGGAGAGGATTCTTCCTCCCTCGTGGTTCAGGCGATTGAAAGTGGTGAGTAGAAGCTTTATACTTTTAGACTTGTAAGATTCTGCTTATGCAGCTTTAGATAAAGTAGAATCTGTTGGCTTTAACTGGGAGGGCTGGCAAAGCCAGAGGCCTCCACTCCACCAAGCCATGCCAGAAAGGCAGAAACTGGTGGAGACGGGCAGCCTTTCAAACCACCAGCCATAAGGCTACTGAAGGGTGATGCTCAGCACCCCAATGGCCTCTGGAAGTCGTGGCCATCAGTGCCTGTTGCGAAGCCTCCCAGGCAGCTGGGCGTAAGAAGAAGTGCCCATTCATGTCCCAGCTGCTCCATTTTGAACCAGCTGTGGCTTTCGAACAGTCTTCAAGGGCAGCTCCATGTAGAGTGTGTTGCAGGAGTCATGAGGTTACCAGAGTCTGTTTGCATAATTAGTAATTATTACTCCTCTTCCACTCCCTTATTTACAGTTTTGATTTTAATTTTGTTATGTGGACATAATTGATTAATTATTATTAATTGATGACATATTTTTATTGGATTGTGAACCATTTTGAATCTTTGTTAGTTCTGCAGTATCAAAGTTAAAGTTAAAGTTAAAGTTTAATAAATTTATATGCTGCCCAATCCCGAAGGACTCTGGGCGGCTTACATAAAAACAATTTAAAAGAATACTAAAAAAATATAATAGAGAGACAAGGCAAGATAAAAAGACACAACATGCACTCAGCCTTAGTGGGGCTGGACCTCATACAAGAGGTCACCAGCCCCAGGCCTGCCGGAACAGCCAGGTCTTGGTAGACTTTCGTTAGGCCGAGACAGTGGGGAGGGTCCGGATCTCTGGGGGTAGATCGTTCCATAGGGCTGGGGTAGCTACAGAGAAGGCCTTCCCCCGAGGAGCCGCCAGACGACATTGTCTAGTCGACGGCACCTGGAGAAGGCCCATCCTGTGCGATCTTATCGGACGCTGGGAGCTATGTGGCAGAAGACGGTCTCGTAGATATCGTAGATATCCAGTTCCTAAGCCATTAAAGGTAATAACCAGCACCTTGAAGCGCGTTCGGAGACCAGTGCAG